TGGAGCTGCAGTGGGCTGCTGTGAGCTACCATGAGTGGCTGGCAGCCAGTGTGAGAGGCCTGCCAGAGAGAGCTGCCATGAGCCACCATGAGCTGCCGTGAGCTGCTGTGAGCGGCTGTCCAATGGCTGACGACTGACTGCCTCAGCTGGGAAGAGCACAATGATCATAATACCAACATGGGCCAGTGAAGCGACATTCTCCACAACTAAACTGAAGAACCAAAGGACAGCAACTTGTCTGTTCCCCTTCCCCGATTCCCCAATGCTGTTCCCCTCCCCCAATTTCCCAGTAAAATTAAAAAAAAAAAAAGCAAAGACCTACACCCAAGATTACTGTACCCAGGAAAACTCATTTAAATTTAAATTGAAGGTGACATAAAAAGCATCCCAGACAAGAAAAAGCTAAAGGAGTTTATCATCACCAACGCATATTACAAGAAATGTTAAAGGGACTTCTTTAATGAAGAAGGAAATACAGATAAAAATATAAATAATAGAAACGGCAATAGATACATATCTATTAACAATTACTTTAAATGTAAATGGTTTAAATGTTCCAATCAAACGATATAGGGTGGCTGAATGGATAAGAAAACTAGACTCTTACATATGCTGCCTATAAGTGACCCACTTCAGATCAAAAGACACACACAGACTGAAAGCAAAGGTATAGAAAAAGATATTTCATGAAAATGGAAACAGACAAACTAAAGCTGGAGTAGCAATACTTATCCCAGGCAAAATAGGCTTTAAAACAAAGGCTATAACAAGAGACAAAGAAGGACTCAGTAATCCTACTTCTAGGTATTTATCTGAAGAAACCCATAACACTACTTCAAAGGGACATATGTATCCATATGTTCATTGCAACATCATTTACAATAGCCAAGATTTGGAGGCATCCTAGGTGTCCAACAATGGATGAATGTATAAAGAGGTGGTACATATTTACAATGGAATATTAGTCATAAAAAATAATGAAATCTTGCCATCTGCAACAATATTGATGGACCTAGAGAGTATTATTCTGAGTGGAATAAGGCAGACAGAGAATGACAAATGCCATGTGATTTCCCTTATATGTGGAATCTGAAGAACAAAATAAATGAACAAATATAACAGAAACAAAATCATAGATACAGAGATCATTTTGAGGGTTGCCAGGTGGAAGAGGGGTTGAGGGACAGGTGAAACGGAGGAAAAGATTAAGAAATACAAATTGATAGTTACAAAATAGTCATGGGAACGTAAAATATAGCTTAAGGAATATAGTCAATAATATTGTAATAACTATGTATGGTGTCAGATGGGTACTAGATTTATTGGGTTGATCACTTTGTAAGTTATTTAAATGTCTAATGAGTATGTTGTACACCTGAAACTAATATAATATTGTATAGCAACTGTATTTGAAAAAAATATTAAAATCTATTTAAGCATATAACTTTTTCACCAGCCCAGACTAATTTCTTTCCAGGCTGTATTCATTTGATTTGCAGATAACAGATAGTCAATAACTTTCAAATGACTATTTAAATTATTTTCTGTGCAGTGGAATGAAGGATTTCTAATTGTCTGTATGGCCTCTTGGGCAGGCAATGTCTTTGAAAACCTGAGTGAAAGGCTAAAATAAGCTTTCTTGTGATGTGTCTTCTCAATTTCAAGAAACACAGTTTTCCTCTATTCTTACTGTTAGCATCCTTTCCAAACAGTATGACTATCACCGCGGCCAACAGGCACTTAGTGTGGACTCATCAACATTAAGCGTGATTATGGAGAGTGATGAGGGAATGTCTTATATTATTTCAGTGTTGAGGTTGTCTTATGGATGTCTCATTCCAGGCCCCCCATAGCTTCTCCATCATCACTTCTGTAAATCTAACAGAAGACCCCGCTTTCCTACTTTTCCTTGGTGCTTGGCATTTAATAGAATCCCAAGCACAAACTTTAATAATTGCGTCTTTAATGTCATAATAAATTCTGGGTAGTGCCCCTGGGATGAATTTTTATGAGCCATCGTCTTTAATAATGTTTCATGAAAAGTGTTCT